GCCTAACACATTTAAGCTTAATACGGTTAATGAAATAACTGTTCTTAACATAATAAAATCCTTTTAATCAAATGCACAAGGTGATGACGGCATTACTCTGAACATAATATTATTAACTTTACCCCGAACATTGACAGTTATTACCAGAATAATTTACAAATCTATTGAAACAGGTGTATTCCCAAGGCAATAGAAAATAGCTTTAGTAAAACCGATTCCAAAAAGTCCAATCCAAATGACTACAAGGATCTTTCACCCTATAAGTATATTGCCCTTTATGTCCAAAATTCTGGAAAGAGTAGTCTGTACACAGATGACGGAGTACCTTGAAGCTAATAATATCCTGCCTAAAAAGCAATCCGGATTCAGAAAGACTCTTAGCACTACAACCGCTCTGATGGATGTAGTGGATAATATTCTGACTGCACAAAACGTTGAAGAGGGTACTCTGTTAGTTTTGCTTGACTTTTCCCCCAGCTTTTGATACAATTAACACCACTTTACTCTTATCAAAACTCGCTTATAACGGATTTAATAATTTAACAATAAAATGGTTTTCAAGTTACCTCACTATTTGTACACAATTTGTTAAAATAAATAAAGACAATGGATCAGAATGGATATCTACCACGTTGCCAGTTCCAAGGGGTGTACCTCGAGGATATTTGGGGCCTATACTTTTTATATTGTGTTCATATACACCGTAAAAAATATTAGTTATCATATATATGCTGGTGACTTTCAATTGTATATGTCTTTTAAACCCAGTGATACCAATATAGTAATTAAAATAAATCAACACAGATTTGCACCACATAGCCGATTGGTGTGATCAAAATAATTTGGTATTGGACCGCATTAAATCGAAGTATATGTTACTGGGAACGCATAACCAGACAAATAATATTCTAACTTTCAATCCGCAAATTAACATCAAGACAACTCCTTTAGAACGTGTGTTGGAAGCTCGGAACTTAGGTCTCGTTATGGACTGAAGGTTGCGTTTTGAGCGTAATGTACAAGAAACCATACATAACTGTTTCTATGGATTCAAAGTCTTGTACCAGATCGGAGAGTATTTGACAGTGGATATGAGCATTAGGTTGTGTGAATCACTCATTCTGTCGAAGCTAACTTATGCGGATACAGTATTTGGAGAATGCTTGCTCGCTAGAACCAAAAAATTAATACAAAAGGTTCTAACCGCCTGTGCACGTTTCTGCTTCACAGTCACCCCGTTTTTAAATCGACACGACCTGATGAGTATGGCTGCTCGACGTACTTTCCACCTCGCGTCATAGCTTTTTGGAGTTATAAATACCAGGGAACTATCATACTTGTACCAAAAAGCTTATTTTATCCCAGCGTGCGGTTAGGACAGCATCACGACTCACAATCCCTAAGCATTACACAGCTGCCTTCCGTGGTAGTTTCTGTTTTGCTGCCACGAAGTGCTGGAATGATATACCACCAAAGATCAGAAATAGTAAAACAGTTGCCACTTTTCAAAATTTATTAAAAATTTTTCCGATTTCCGTACAAAAAACCCAGCAAATAGGCTTAAATAGTACGATTCAATCTCGATGATCAACCAACATGTTCGATCGATCAACATCCACCGTACATGCACATACGAACGCACTCACACACTCAAACACGCATGCACACATCCACATACACATTCATAATTTATTTTATTTCTTCTGTATGCATACCATTGTTTGTTAATATCTACACTATCAATGTTGCACTGACACGTGGAATTTTTTTATTTTTATTTTATATTTTTGTTTATTTCTTTTTTTCTCTTGTTGTTACCTGCCTCACACTACTGGCTCCACTGAAAATCAGCGTTAAGTGGAAGGAAATGGGGAGATCTCCCGCCGGTCAAGGTGTTCTGCCCGGGGAGCGGTCAACAGACCGTGTGGTAGTTCGGAGATTGTAGTGTTATGCTACTTACAATTTATTTTTCCATTGTTTTTGATTTTCTGCATTCGCCTCAAAACTGGATATTTTGCATCACCTTTACTTCCATAGGATCCTGTAACGTTTTTTTTAAACCATAAGAACACAATAACAAATCATTTTCACATCGTATTTTCACGTTATCAGCACTTTTTAAATCGGTGTCAATGGAGTCTACCTTTTTCGGTATTTTATTTAGTTCTCCGTAACTCTGCAATTTCGGGCTTCGTGCACACTGTTGCGCTACCTTTTTTCCTATATCAATAATATCTCATCTTTCACTTAAATCTTGCCGTTTCTCTATTACGAGCCTAAAACCAAAATTTGACATGTTTTGACATCGTTGTTTATCTGGTTGTCATGGCAATTTTTATTCAAATATCGTTACCGGCCTGATGTTTTTACTTCAAAAATACTCTTTTCTTCTTGGCCATTTACAAAAATTTGCTTTTAATTTAAATAATTTCAAATAATTTCTCGTTCTTATCCCAGATCCGTCAAAAAGTATAAAAGCCGAAGAATCGGCCAATAGAGGTTCTCACTTCAGCTTTGATACGAGAAGCACCTCTTAAAGGCTTTATCCGCACTGCCTCGGGATCTTGCAAGCCTCTGCCTTCTCCTCAAGTCGTCGCCTAGCCACGCCTACGCCTCCACCTATTAGTGCCCGCGCTATCTTCGGCCGCTGAGCGTGCTTGTCTCAAGCGCTGCGTGTTCCTACTCCAGACGCTGCGTGTCTCCGGCGCTCCGGGCGCTGTGTGTGTCTACTCTGGGCACTGTGTGTGTCTACTCCGGGCGTTGTGTGTGCCTACTCCGAGCGGTGTGTGTGTGCCTACTCTAAGTGCTGCGTGTACCTGCTCAATACGCTGTGTGTATCTACTCCAGACGCTGCGTGGACCTACTCCAGACGCTGCGTGTCTACTCCAGGCGCTGTGTGTGTCTACTCCGGGTGTTGTGTGTGCTCATTCTGGTCGCTGTGTGTGCCTACTTCAAGCGCTGCGTGTACTTAGATTAGGAGCTGTGCATGCACCGCACCGCACCGCATAGCCTGTACATACATTGTTTCCGTACTCATTTATCTTTATTAACTTTTATTTTTTTTTAAAAAAATTGTAATTCACTATCATCACTACAGCCCATCATCACCCTCATACCTTTTTTTATATAAAAAAAGCTGTAAATATCTTTACAAATTTTAAATAAATTATTTTCTTTTTGGTTGTTTCGTTGTTAGGTTAGGTTCTATAGTTTTTAATTGTGGCTTTATATTTTATAAAAGAAACTGTAAATATCTTTACAAATTTTAAATAAATTATTTTCTTTTTGGTTGTTTCATTGTTAGGATAGGTTCTTTAGTTTTTTAACTGTCGCTTTACGACAAGATGTTCTAAATATGCTGTTTATGATTCGGAATGTTAATAGCGTGATTTAGGCTTCGGTGTGTTTTCGCTTGCGGCGCGACGACAGCGCCGCCACATTACCCCCCTACTCAGACCGGAGGTCGATAGTGCAGTCCGTTTGCCGGTGTGTCCTTTTAATGCCGGTGGGGAATGCATGCTGTGTGCGTAAGGGCAAGTGACACCGGTGCGAATAATATGCCGATGTGTAATGCATGCCGTACTACGCACTAGCAAGTGATGCCGGTGAGAACGATGTGCCGGAGCAAGTGCCAGAGGTCTGCCTTATAAATCTGCGGTGAGTTGAAATGAAGACAAGTTGGACTGGCTTGCAGGAACTGAAGACTGCAGAAGACGATCTCAGTAGTGAATGGTAAGGGTTCTTGAATATAATGATGAAGGCAAAGTTATAGTTTCCGAAGGTGTTTGGTTGCGTGTTCAGATCACGTAGGGGTCACCACTGTGGCCGTGGAAGGAAATGGGGAGATCTCCCGCCGGGCAAGGTGTTCTGCCCGGGGAGCGGCCAACACTCCATGTGATAGTTCGGAGATATTCTATATATGCTGTTTATGATTCGGAATGTTGATAGCGTGATTTAGGCTTCGGTGTGTTTTCGCTTGCGGCGCTACGACAGCGCCGCCACATATTTATATCTTCAATTCGTGACTTAAAGCCGATTGGAGACCATTTTGGTGCATATTATGTTATTCCCTTTTTAAATATTTTTGATAAGATATAAAAAAAATGTTTTATTTTAATTCTTTTTTGTTATAATGGGTGTACCAAATAAACTTTTAAAAAATAATAAGTTGAACAATCATTTATCTTTCACGCTAATTGATGCTGTTGTTTGCTAATGTCAGATGATTGCGAATACGTAACAAATATTGTGTGCTAGTATGATGATTATATATGTCAATATGAAAATGTGTTTTGTATAATTTATATGTTTAATATGATTATTAGACACGATTTCATGCGACAAAACGTTGGATTCTTGATTTTTATGCATGCAATACCGCGTAACGTAGTTGCGATAGACGTACAGTCGAAAAAAAAATTGTTGAGTACCTTCTTTTTTTAAAATAGTTAATGGTGGCTTCACATTATCGCCGTGAATTTGCGCGCGAATTCACGCCCTGAATTCACGGCACAAGTCGTGCTTTCCGAATTCTCGGGATGCTCACAATTGTTCGTGAAACCCGCCGCAAAACGGACGTAGAAGCTCCTGCTGCAATAACTTTATTTTCTGTGGCAACGTATCACTATTTAAGGTTTTCGCACATTATAACAACTCACCGGCGACTCGACTCTATGCTAGACATTGAAATTTAAGCCCTGTATCATATGTTCAAGGTTCAATTTCAAAAAATGATTATAAAGTAGTGTACAACGAGTGGCCTACGCATCGTACACTAGAGGTCAACCCCGACACGTTTGTCACGCAATGACCATACGTCGTCCACGCAACGACCAAACGTTGTCCACGTAACGACTATGCGTTTGCGACTGACGCGTGACGGGCAACCATTTGCCAGCCCACCCGTCCGCCCCGTGCCTTCCCCCGCCCGCCATCATTCACTATAGAATCGAAGGACGGAGTGCACGTTGGCGGTACACGGTGATAATTTTTCGAAAATCATGCTGAAAGAAAAGTTGATAGAAGAAGTGCGAAAATATCCGCTACTATACGACCTTCGTGATCCGAAATATAGTGACGTACATAAGAAGGAAAAGGCATGGAATGAAATCGCTATTGTATTGTCGCAACCAGGTAAGAATTTTTTTTTTGAGTTATTGATTTTGCCATAATCTACAGAAATTCAGCTATCGAACAAATAAATATGTGTGATTCTAATAGATATTAATAATAATGTTAAAACTTATAAGTCATTTCATTAAAGTACATTGTTGAGAAAATTTAATTCAACCTGTTACATCCAAAAAGTAGGTATGTTATTGTACAGTTAACAGTACCTACGATTTTCTACTTGGACACTCGAAAAATCTTGGTTTATCGTAAAAATTAGTTTTTTCACATACAGTAATATAAAATCCCAGAATTTACTGATATAAAATATTAAATCTACGTCATATATATTTTTTTTTAGTTTGGGTTTCTGTATGTTATAATAAAGTGCCTTACGTTTATTTAATATAGGTAATCAGTAATAAAATCCCAGCTTAGTATAGAAAGTTGTTTAATATTCTTAATAAGCCAATAATATTATAACCAACTTCTTACGATTATTACATATTAATTATACATGATCTATATTAAATGCTGCCACGGAACTCGTCCTTCGGGAGATTGAAAATAAGTTGCAAACATATCACGAGTTTCAAAAGCAGATGCCGAAGATTCACTTATATCTTCTGGAATTGTACTTAGATTACTTAGTAATCTCTGTTCATCATCATTATTGGCCGAACTCTGCCTTGTGTTGACTTCATCATCGGATGTTATATTATAACACCGCATGACATTGTGTAAAATACACGTCGCAAAGACCACAATATCAACATATTTTGGGTGTAAATGCAAATTCTTATTATAAATTCCAAATTTTTGATATAAGATGCCGAACGCGTTTTCAACTACTCTGCGAGCTCGCGATAAGCGATTATTGTATATTCTTTCCTTTTCTGAAATGCCACTTGAACGTGGATATGGTCGCAATAAATTCCTTTTTAAAGGAAACGCTTCGTCGGCTACAAAAACATGTGGCATTATTATTTCAGTACCAGGTAATGGTGTGTCAGTTGGAATATTAAATGTATTCATTTCAATCGCTCTTCCTAATCTTGACGATGCCAAAATTCCGCCATCACTATTCTTGCCATAGGCCCCTATATCGACAGCTATAAATCTGTATTTATCATCGACGACAGCCATGAGGACGATAGAGAAGTGTTTTTTATAATTAAAAAATAGCGAGCCGCTGCTAGGAGGAGCAATTATGTTTACATGTTTGCCGTCGATGGCACCTATACAGTTTGGAAAATTCCATTTTTTATTGAAACCATCTGCGATTCTTTTCCAGTCTTCGGTAGTAGGTGTGGGCATGAACTTCCCCTTCATTGTATTTATAATCGCATTGCACACATCTTTTAATATCGACCGGATGGTACTTTCGCCTAACCGAAAGCTTGAACTCATAGTCCTAAATGAACAGCCACTAATCAAGTACCTGAAACAACCAATTTTTCTTTATATTTATATTATTTTGTTACAGCGTCAGAATGTAAGAAGATATGGCAAAACTTAAGGGAATATCATAGAAGAGCCATTAAAAAGAAAGCAACTAAAAGTGGTCAGAGTGCTAATACTAATAAAAAATGGCAATATGAAACTGAAATGTCTTTTTTATTACCACATTATAAAGAACGGTCTACAGTGACGTCAGTGGACAACACAGATGATGGTGATGATGAAAATAGCTTATCTGCTGCGGAAATTCTTGCCAATGTGACTAATAATGAAGAATCTCAAGACTCGTCAATTATCTCGGAGCGTCCTGAATCTTCGGTGTCTATGTACGATTCATCTAGATCAGTGTTTCCTGACATTCCAAAAACGACAAAACGAAAGAAATTGCAAGAAACAAGTGCATCGGCGGTTTTAATGGAATATTTATTAAAAAAAAAAAACGATGAAGATGGAAAGCAGAATGACGAAATGGATAATTTTTTTTAAGTATTTCTAGCACAGTAAAAAAATTATCTACCTATAATCAAGCACAAGTCAAGAATTTTTAATTTAGTTTCGGAAGCTGAAATACAAGAACTGCAAAATAATCGAAACTGTTACTATGATGATTTTTTTGCACCAGGAACTTCTGGCTACACAACTCAAAACCTAAATGCAGGTACTACCGGTAGTAGCACCGCTAGCACCCAACAGCAAAATACAACGCCTATGGAAGAATCGAGGGTTGATGGTTCTTCTTAACACAATTAAAGTAAAATTGCTTTGCTTTGATTTATCCTTTAACTTGATATATAAATAAATACATATAAATTATAAAAAAGTTTCTTATTGCTTACCTTAATGTCACTGCCAGCTTTTCTTCCGGTGATACAGCTTCTCTAAATCGCGTGTTTCTTTTGTAGATGTCGTCCTCAATAATATTAAGTATATAATAAAACAAGTATCTCGGCATACGGAAATAGATATAGAATTTTTCTTCGTCATCTAGCAGACGTTTCCGGATATTCCAATATTCCCCTTCTGATTTCCTTTGTCGCAACAAATCATGTACCCAATATCTTCTTTTCCTGCTGTTTCGTTCATTTTCATTATCAAATATAATAGCTATAATCGCCAGTTCACTGAATGTAAAGTTCGACATTTCATAAGCAACACGACTTCTTTGGACAAAATTTAACCGAAAACTGAGGTTAGACGAGTTGTCTGTTGAATAACCCACTCGTTGGCACCGCGTTGGCCACTCCTTGACACCGCGTTGTCCACTAGTGACCATTGGGTGGATCAACTAGTTGACTACTCATCGAGAGTGTGAGTAGAGTTGCTGCCGCGTTGGCGTGGAGTTGTTATAATGTGCGAAGACCTTTAGACGTCCAAAACAAGAAAATTTATTAGAAAACGTTGGAAAATAAAAAGATAGTGTATGACTAAAATACCATCGTCCGTACGTCTTTATAGTTCTAAACAAACTGGCACGGTGCCGTGAATTTGGATGTGTAAGCGTGAACGCCGCTCAAAGGGTGCGTGAACCCTTTGTCGCGGGACAAAATACCGACTCTGACTAGGGAACAGGCGTGACTATTCACGTTCACGCCTGTTTACGGAGTTTCACGGCGATAATGTGGAGCCGCGGTAAGAGAATAAAAAGGGCTATAATATATACTCTAATGGCTATAAGAATTACTTTCCAGTCAACTCATGGGTTTTCGTCGACATATTATATTGAATATATTATCGCCATACTGCATATCCCCATTAGTAGTTAGATTTTGTTAAATTTGATGCCGGTAACGGTACCCAATTAATTAACATTAACATATGATGTTGGCATGGTAATGGTACCCAGTAACTGGTTTACAGTTACGCTGCAGCTGTGCTTGAGCACGTTTGAGAAAATACTTGCATAAAATACTATAGTAAAATAGCAGCATAATGTTAGTGTTTCGCATGGTGAGTGACGAGAAGCGGATAACCTTTTTACTAGAATGAGACTTTAGATCTTATAACTTAAGCGTAAAAACGTATCTGCATTTTGATTCTAAACCGATTTTTTTATAGAATAAGGGTGACAAATGAGCCCAGAGTCTACCTGGTAGTAAATGGATGTCGTGGATAGTAGACATATCTAGATCTACCATCTTCTAAGGATTTAAATGCAGTCATTACCCCTGAAGACGAAGACGGAAAGTCCAGTAAAAAGAGTCTCCGATTCTTTGGTATATAGGACTACCTGAAACACTCTTAGGGAAAAATCTGCGATAGATAAATAAATATTCAGACAACTAGAAGATTCCGTAGTTGTTTCTTTTTTATTGAAATTTAATAACTTCTTCAAAATTAATTTTGAGTAACCTAGTAAACATTATATCTCATAAAACAATTATTTTTCAATAAACTAACTTTAAACGATTTTAATTAATCTAATCACCAACCTTGCTACCTTCGTTAAATATAATTAAATACCTTCAAACGTTACCTTCAGGAGTTATGAAAATTTGTAAACCGTCACGTCTCAAACCCTTTAATTTTCACAGTGATTTAATTAATAAAAACTTGGCGTAGTTGCCATTCGTCTGCTCATGGCTCCATGGTATGTCGGCAAGGCCTTATTATAAAAGATAAAAAATGAAGTTTTTATTCAATTTAGATAACAAATAATACTTATTAATAGTAGTTTATGCTTTTATTATTGGTTTGAACAAAATCTAAGTTCTGGGAAGAACCAGGAGAAACCTTGGGATACATTTTGAACAATAATTTACAATGTTGTAAAACTTACTAAAAAAAAACATTTATAAACAGTATGGGACCGATGAATGTTTATCAATATTTTTATATAACCCAAGCATTATACAATATAGAGTTTTTATACAATTAGAGTTAAACAAGTGATGTTTAAAATGTACACAAAAAGCTTGTTGGACTGCTACAGAAATGTATCAAAATGTAATTTGTAATTGTTTAATGCTCGTGTAATTAAGGCACTCTTGTTATCACGCGCATTATATGAGGTCAATAAAAAGTACATATTCTTACGACGTTTGAAAGTGGCAGGAATATATTTTGTTGGTTTTTAGGGGTTGCCGAAATTGAGGTTAAAATGTTTAATAAGAACAAATCGTCCGACTTGGTAAGTCTAACTTCGAACGAGAGGTCGGCAGCGCTCGCCAAAAACAATTTTGTAGTTTTAGTTTTCCTCTGTCATGTCATAGGACACTATCGGGGTTAATATATCCATGTAATATTAGACTCAATTTATAAATTAAGTTTTAGAGGACGACATTCTTCTAGATTATATATTTTAATTTTTATCAGTTTAAAGTTTTCTTCACTATAATTAAAGGATTCATTAATTCATCGTAAACCCACAAGTATTTTAATCGTATCTGTTGTAAGTTATTTACTTTAATTAAATGATACATTTTATAATTCCTTAATTCTGTTTATATATTTTGTATGGATGTAGTTGTTTGGTGGGTTGGTAACCTAAAATAAATAAAAATAAATAATAGAAAAAACTTTTGGTAAATCCAAATGTGCATGCCTTTGGCACTCATGTTGTAAGTCAATTTTTAAAGTATTTTATTTTATTATAAGTATTTGATATATTTATGTAGATAGATAATTTAATATTAAACGTCAATATAAAAAGTTTGTGAAATTCAAAAGTGCATTACTTATAATGCTCATATGATCGTAAAAAATGTAGAAAGAAAATTGTCATTTACTAAGTAATGTAGATTTTCTTCCCGGAGCTGGTATCACCGTATCTCGCCCCGTGCCCGCTTGACGTTGAGTTTCGGGACACGATGCATAATATAGCAAAATCGTTATATTATATAAGTACCTTTTCGTTCAAATGAGACTCTGGTATTTGTATTTCATTGACATAATTAATAATAGAATCTATTATTAACAGCCAGCTCATGCGGTACTGTCTAGTGTAGTAGAGTATCTGATTAGTGACCGCCAGTACGGTTTCCGTCGCGGTCGCTTGGCTGGTGATCTTCTGGGTTACCTAGCTCATAAATGGGCGGAGGCAATGGAGTCCAAGGGGGATACGTTGGTCGTTATTTTGGACATAGCGAAGGCCTTCGATCGGGTTTGCCACAAAGCGCTTCTTACGAAGCTTCTATCCTATGGGCTTCCCGAGAAATTGTTCAATTGGATCACCAGTTTTCTTGCTGATTAGAGCATCAATGTCGTAGTAGAAGATGCATGCTCCAATTATAAGCCCATTAACGCTGGTGCTCTACAAGGCTGTGTGCTATAATCAACGCTGTTTTTTCTGCATATCAATGACATGTTGCAAATCGGTAACATTCATTGCTATGCGGACAACAGCACTGCTGATGCTTTATACACCGGCAGTGCCAATATTTCTCAGGAAAATCTCGCAGAGTACCGGGACAAACTTGTTTCTGAAGTCAAAACTTTGTTGAACAAAGCCTCGGACTGGGTGCGAATAAATCTAGTCCAGTTTAATCCCCAGAAGACACAAGTTTGCGGGTTTACCGCTAAAATAATCCCTTCGTGTTATCTCATCAGTTTCAACGCACTCCCCTTGTTGCCTCAGCCAACATCGGAATCTTCGGTGTCAACATATCGAGTAACATGTAGTTTCGTAGTCACTTGGAAGAGAAGGCCAAATTGGCCTCTAAAAAGCTTGGCGTGCTCAGCAGAGCGAGACAGTATTTAATGCCGGCTCACCGGCTGCAATTTTACAAGGCGCAGTTTCGGTCGCACATGGAAGAGCTCTTTCCAATTGGCTTGACTCACTGGCACTGCGAAGAGATGTTGAATCTCTATGCGTATTTTATCGCATCTACTACGGGGAGTGCTCTGAGAAAGTGTTCGGACCAATTACAGCCGCACATTTTTACCATCGCACATCGCGACAAAACTCGCGATACCATCCATACCATCTAGATGACTGGCGGTCTACCACCATGCGATTTAAAAGAATTTTTCTTCCTCGCACAATTTCCTTGTGGAATTGACTACCACCAGAGATTTTTCTGGACGATACGACTTAGGGACCTTCAAGAAAAGAACCTACTCCTTTCTAAACGGCTGACAACGCATCTGCAATTCCCCTGGTGTTGCAGTTGTATGAACAACTGTTCATACTGAACAACAAATGTTAAGTGATCACCGCTGCCCATGAGGGCAGCGGTGATCACTTAACATTAGGTGAGCCGTATGTGCCTCGCCCCCTTTCCTATAAAAAAATGTCGTCCAGACTGAAATTAGGCCACGGCGGCTGGTCTCCGTTGAGACTAGCCATCTGCGCAAGGCAAGATATATCGTCCGAGTGTATGCGTAATCACTGGTGCAGTTTCTCTTCCCTAACTTTCTGAGTCCGAGTCCGATGAGATGGAAATCCGACAGCTGGCTGAAAATCTATAGGGCCGTTACTGAGAATTTTTGGCAGAAAAACCCAGTAACTAATTTTTTGTTCCGACCCGGGATAAGCACTAGACCAAAGA